TATAGATCTAAACCCCAATCTTTTTCAATCTTATTCTAGCTTTTTTCCTCTGCCAGGTCATTTTTCGTATTTTTGCCTTTAAATCATCAAAAAAATCTCCTTGTATTGTTGTGGCTATTGTTTGATGTTGATAAGAACATCCAGTTGATGTTTTCTTAAGGGGACTTGATTTAGCCGGTAGTCTCTTTATTTTTCCAGTTCGATGCAGTTGTCCTGAAGTATTTATCTTCTCTTTCATCTGTTTTTCTTGTTTATCTTCAAGTTCCTTCTGGTTTATAAGAAACGCCCTTTCCTTGTTCTCTATTATCAATTTCTTTTTTGTGTTTTCTATTGTCTATATTTGTTGAGTATCTAAGTCTTCTGTCATAACATTTGGTTGTTTCACTTTCTCTATAGAATTCTGTATAGATAATTCTTTGATTGAAGTCATAGTTTGAGTTTGTATATCCAGAGCTTGCATACATAGAGTTTGAATCATCGCTTTTAACATACAAAGAATTTGTTCTTGTACTTCCTCTGTAAAGGAAATCCTTTCCTGTTCTCCTTCCATTGTAATATATTAAACTCAAGAGAAAGAAACTGACAGTCAGAAAGTCCACCAAATGGGGAGCAGAGCTGAATTTTGTAGATGGTGTTTCAAGGTTATTTTTTATCTTGTCTATTTTCAAAGCTGTCAACATCTCTTAGAGCAGTGGTTCTTAACCTGGGCAATATCACCCCCCAGGGGGCGATTTCATTTTTCAGGGGGACGATGGAATGAAAAGGGGTGATGTGGGGGCAAAGGAACGAAAAGGGGGCAATATGGGGGCAATGGAGCAAGAAGTTTTGGGGACATTTTTGAGCCTGCCCCTGCGGCTCCAAGCCTCCTCCGCCATTTGGAGACAGAGATAGAGAGAGAGAGGCACTTGTGCTTCTCTCTCTCTCTCTCTCTCTCTGATGCGGATTTGCCCCCTCACAGGGCTCCTGGTTGGCCCTGCGCCCGGGTGCCCCGCGTCCTGGGACAAGTGCAGCCAGGAAGTCCATTTCCCTGGCTGGCCCCGTCCCAGGAGCACGTGCCTGGGGAACCGCACAGGGGATCCCCGGGATCCCCACTGGGAGCAGCCCACCAGAGCCTCACCTAGCGGGCCAGTCTTCCTGCAAGCCGCAGCCCTGAGGGAGAACTGCCCCTGCGATCCCCAGCCGTGGGACTGTTGGCCCAGCTGTCCGGGAAGGCGCGCCAGAGTCCTGGCTGCTTTGAGAGGTGAGTAGAAGATGGGGGGGAGAGAAAGGGAGGGGGGGCATTTTCCAACGAGACCCGTGGGAGCGCCTCCTCCTGAGGTCCAGCGCCGGCTTCCTTCCCTCCTCCTCGTCCCCTTCTTCCTCCTGTTGCCCCCTGGGCAGCAGTCCTGGCTGGGGTGGTGGCTGGTGGGGGCATCGCTCCCTGGGTGACGCTGGTGGGTCGCGGATGGCTGGGAGCGTCATGTGTTGCGGAGCGGCCCCTGCTCCTCCAGCAGCTGATGGGGGTGTTCTGCAGATGCCCTGCGAGTTAAGCCCGGGGACGCTGGTGGCGCAAGGGGAGGCTTGGTGATGCAGCCGACAGGTGGGGCATTCCACAGATGCCCTGTGGCCCCGACTTGAGCTAAGGGATGCCAGCGGCACGTGGGATGGCCTGCCAATGTGACTGTGAGCCGGGGCGTCCCTGCAGGCTCAGTGGGCAGTGGAGCTGGGTGCCTCCAGCGGCGACGGGGTCTTCTGCTGCTTCCTGCCCCCCCCCGCCCCTTCGGTGCCCTCTGCCTTTCATTTTCTCTCTCTCTCTTCATCTGGAGAAAGAAAGGGGAGGGAGGGAGAGGAAAGAGAGAAAGAGAGAGGGAGAGGACAAAGAGAAAAAGAGAGAGAAAAGAGAGAGGAAAGAGAGAGAGAGGAAGTGCAAGTGCCTCTCTCTCCCCCCCTCTCTATCTCTCCTCACCTGGAGAAAGGGGGGAGGGAGGGAGAGGAAAGAGAGAAAGAGAGAGGGAGAGGGGAAAGAGAAAGAGAGAGAAAGAGAGAGAGGAAGCGCAAGTGCCTCTCTCTCCCCTTCTCTCTCCTCACCTGGAGAAAGAAGGGGGAGGGAGGGAGAGGAAAGAGAGAAAGAGAAGGAGAGGGGAAAGAGAAAAAGAGAGAGAGAAAGAGAGAAAGAGAGAGGAAAGAGAGAGAGAGGAAGTGCAAGTGCCTCTATCTCTCCCCCCCTTCTCTTTTTCTCTCACACACACTGAGTGGGGGAAGAGGACTGGCAGACCAAGGGCAGAAAGAGGGAGGGAGGGAGGGAGAGAGAGAGAGAGAGACCCTTTTGACATCTAAAATGAAGATAACACCGAAGATATATATATATATAATAAAGGTAAAAAAGGATATATGCAGTGTTATCTTCATTTTAGATGTCAAAAGGGTTTTGCGGCTCCCAGTGTTTTGTTTTCAGTGGGAAACAGGTCCAAGTGGCTCTTTGAGTGTTTTGGGTTGCTTACCCCTGCTCTACCCATACAGTGGCGCGCCATTGGCCAGAATGTGCAGTGATGGAGAGGGGAGTCCTTCTTTCGAAACATTGCATGCTGTTTTGTGTGTCTCTTTGTATTGTACTTTTTTAGCGTGCACTCCAGTTCGATATTATATTTTCTTTGTGTCTTTTTAATCCTTTTTACAATGTGCGTGACTATATATACTTTCCTCGAATCTTAATTTAGTTTCAGAGTTTTCGTCTTGAAATTCTTAGTTCCTGCATTGCGGTTTGTTCTTATGCCCTTTTTATATTTCTTTTTGCATCTTAAATTTCACTTGTAATTCAATCATTAAATGTTACTGTTTTTCTTTTCGGGCATTTCACTTTCTTGCAATTGAATTTTGTTTTCAATGGTCATTACATTTAAGTATCTTGAATAAATAAGATAATAATGAAATACATGTATCACGAAGTTTGGGAATAAAGTGACGGGTGGCACCAAAATTTTTCACACAGTTGAGATATGGGAAAAAGACTGGAAATAAATTATTTGCATCATATGTCCTGATGACAATTTTAAAGAAAACAAAAAAAGTGTTTGCATAAATTGAAGAATTATTTCCTATGTTGTGATTGAGAGGTTATGTTGGAGGAGGGGGGCGATGACAACTTCCTCATTGGCTCAAGGGGGTGATTCGTTCAAAAAGGTTAAGAACCACTGTCTTAGAGAATAGCAGGTTTCATCTTAGAGTTAGTTGGATCTTTTTAGGGTTTTTTTTCGCTCTATTTTAAGGGGGGAAAACCCCCAAATCTTCAATAGTAATTAGAATAAAAATCAAGGAAGAAATATACATAGAGAGAGCAGAAAGTTGCAAATCTTATAATCCACCAGTTTTAGGAAGTAGGATTCCAATTAAGATCTCAGTATTTTTCCAACGTTTTAAACTCCCAAGTAGTTGATAGCTGCTGTTTCTGGAGGGAGGGCTAGAATCCCCCTTCCCTCACCACAGGAGGGAAAGTACTTTAGCAGCTTATGCGGTAATTAAGTAGTTAGGATGTAAGAAAGGCAAACCTCACCCAGTCCTATCCACGCTGCTTTGAAGTTGCCAGATGGTAGTGTGACTTCGGCTGTTTGCAGCCTAGGGACGAGCCATATTTCTATGGCTGGTCCTTTCCTTTGCCAGTTTGGAGGAATCACCTGGTCTGACAGAAGAGTTGCTGCTCTCCCGGGATCCAGCAAAAGCCCCTCCTTGCTGATCGCCTCTTTGGGGCGACTTTCGGCCCTTTTCAGGGCCCCCCAGCGATGCGAAACTGAATGGGGGAGAGAGAGCAAGTCTCCCAACTGTCCCTGGTGGCTGTGTGATGAACCGGAAGTCCACAATTCCCTCTTCTAACTAACAGTCATAAATCACATTCTCCAATTAGTTTGAAATGCTGGCTTTCCCACCAGTTCTTCAACCCGCCATGTCTTATCACCGTGGTGGCGAACCTATAGCACGTGTACCACAGATGGCACTCAGAGCCCTCTCTGTGGGCATGTGCGCTGTCACCCCAGTCCTAGGCTTCAGCTGGGTTTTATAAAACCTTTTCGCTTTAGGTCTCTGCCGCCGTGTGCAAAAAGAAACAGTTCAATCAATCAATCAATTTCAACTTCTCGTGGGAAAAAAAATCTCGCAAAGTTGGAATTGATTGATTGAACTTTTTAATCCCACCCAGTCTGCCGTTACCACCATAACCACACACACCCAATTGGCCAGCCGGTACCTGATGATACATAAGTGGGTTTTGGGTTGCAGTTTGGGCACTCAGTCTCTAAAAGGTTCGCCATCACCATCTTATCATCTCTGACTTATTACAAAAAACCTTGTTTTTTGTAATAAGTCAGTATTGTTATGTCTAACAGTATTGTTATGTCTAACTAAACTCGCAAGCACATTCCTCCTCCTCCCCTCAGTATCATCTAATTCTAACTCTAAGAGTAAAACATAAAATAGAGGAAAATGGCTGCATCTCCATATGTTGTCAAAGCAAGAACATTCGATGTTAGCAACGTTGACACAATTTCAGCAACCATTCTTTATATGTTTTAGCCTCCAGTCTCCTATCATCGTTGTTACTCTTCTCTGCACTCTTTCTAGAGTCTCAAGATTTTTTTTATGTGCAATACTCCAAGTGTAGTCTTATCAAGGTTATAAACTTTGGGCCTTTTCCTCCCTGCCTTCTCTTCCATAAAAATGTCGCTGTTCTCTTCATAACATTGAGATTGGAAGACATCTGCTTCTTAATATATAAAGAATTGGTCTAACATGAGAACTCCCTTGCAACTTTAATTCTTATAGCCCCCTCTCTTTTGAAGCTGTGCACAGTCTGGATGTAGGCATTGAAGCATCAGTCCATCAAATAAACTCTACATTTGGTAACCTGTTTTGAATCAGTGTAGTGGGACTAACCTCTAAAGAAATCATTGTTATCTGTACTGCTGGTGGAAATGTGGTGTGCTTATTCCTAAGGGTACTTGAGGCACGTAACAATCTTCTTTTCCTCCTAGAGTTTCTTTGAAGGCTGGGATGCTTCAAAGAAGAAAGAAAAGACCAAAGGGAGACAGGATCACATGCCTACCTGTAAGTGTTTGAGACAAAAATCTTTTCCTAAAAAAAAGAAACAAAGAAAAATCAATATCCTTCCTTTCATTCTAAGAGAGCTGAAATGCCTTGAAACTCTGCAGAGTTTGCACAGTATGGATTAGGGTCTTACTCTGATCTTGGTCTCTCAAATTCACAGCGGATACATTTTGATCCAATACTGATTCCATTTGCAAAAGCAATCACGTAAAAATATTAAAGTGAGGGTGGGGTAGGATGGGGTTCCTATTTCTCAGTTGTCATCACTGCTTTCATTTAGAGAACAAATTTATCAGAGGAAAGGAGCATATTAAAAAAACCCTACATCATGGACATTCCAAGTGATTTGATAAGAACCATTATATATCTAGAAATAATAATAGCAGGAGAAGGGTTCAAAAGATTGTATAGGTAATTTTCAACTTACAACCATTCCTTTAGTGACCATTCTAAACTACGACAGCACTGAAAAGAAATCACTTAGGGCAGGGGTTCCCAACTGGTGACATGAGATGATATTCCAGGGGGTGTGAAAATTTGGGTTTAGAAATTTCAAAATTATAATATATATGTATAATTTGTTGGTGTTATTTTGAACTTTTGTAAAGAGGTGCAAGAATATATCAGAAGTATTCTAGGGGTGTGGGGTATAGAAAAGAAATCACATAGGGTCATTTTTTACACTTACCATTGCAGCCTCCCCACGGTCATGTGATCAAAACTCATATGCTTGGCAACTAGCACGTATTTATGATGGTTGCAATGTGCAGTGGACATATGATCCCCTTTTATGACCTTCTGACAAGCAAACTTAATGGGGAAGCCAGATTCACTTAACAACCATGTTACTAACTTAACAGCTGCGGTAATTTACTTAAAACTTATAGCATGAAAGGTCATAATGTGGGGCAAAAGTTTGAAATAACACCAATAAATTATACATATATACTATAATTTTGAAATTTCTAAACCCAAGTTTTCACACCCCCTGGAATATCGTCTCACTTAGCTTAGCAACAGAAATTTTGGGCTCAATTGTGATCATACATCGAGGACTAGCTGTAGATAGTTGATTTTTTTTACAGACAAAGTGGTAATAACAATAATGCATACTTCATATTTGCTCTGATCCCAAATTCCAGCTGAACAAATGCATCTGGGTCAGGGGTAGGCAACCTTGGCTCTTTTATGACTCATGGACTTCAACTCCCAGAATTCCTGAGCCAGCATGGCTCAGCTTGGAAACTCTCCTTTTTCCCTCAGCATGGCTGGCTCAGGAATTCTGGAAGTTGAAGTTCAAAAGTCATAAAAGAGCCAAGGTTGCCTACCCCTGATCTGGGTCCTCAGTACGTCCACACACTTGCCCTGATGTTCCTTAAGCTGCATTTCTCCTCTTATTTTATTTCACTGTATTTTGAATGAAAAAGAAGGCTAGAATCTGCAAAGGAAAAGGCTAACCTCAACTATAAACTTTTTACCCCAGCAATTATTCTGTGTTTCTCATCTGTCCTGGAGGTGTTCCTATGAAAAAAAAATAATGGGGAGGGAAATGTTTGCATTCCACATCTGTCTTGTTGTGAAAAATGCAATGGAGATTTGAGATAGAAGATCCATATCTCTCTTGTATGTGAGCTGCAAAAATTCAGACAAACACTAAATTGCAGCAAAGAGTTAGATATTCATTTATAGAATTTTCTGACCTACACTCTTGCTCTGGGTCTTCAATGTGTTAAATTGACATGACTTGGATAGCATGTCACCTTGAGAGGGAAAGGGGCTGAAATGATACTGGCATCTTAATTTCTACAGGGCTTGAGGGCTTGATTTCATCTGGAGTTTTAAGTAATTGTTGGTTAACTATATTGGGGTTCACTAATGGATGAAGTAAAACATCCCTTCAGAGAAGGAGCTGGTCTGGAGCACGATAAGATTCCACTGTGCAACAAGTCATTGTTATGATCTCTTTTAAATAGGACATATTCTTTGTGGGTGCAGGTGGCTAAAGTCCCAGATTTCATTAAATCATAGAGTAGCTTGCCTGAACCTAGTCACTATGCATTCTAAGCCATGGTTTTATATGTTAGGATGTTGTGCCTCAGATAATACAACTTGGTTAAAGCAAATCAAGTCTTAGCATGTTGTAACTCAGCTTGTGCAAGACAAAAAGAGACATCAAATGATGATAATGTTTGGTATTCAGTGCATTAAAAAAAAAGTTCAAATGAGTAACCAGGAATATCCTCTCTCTGGGAACTGGAAGGATGAATGCAATTTATTGTGAATTTCTGCTATAAAATATCTCCTCCAGCAGCTGCTTTTTCTTTGCTACACTGGCTATTTTTATTGCTCCTAATTATAGCTGTCTATCTGCTGTTTTCCAAATTGAAATTCCGTGTTATCGCAGAGACAAAAAATGAGAGCAAAATTGTTCAAAACAGTTTAGGCAAAGCCAAGCACCAATTTTACTCCACTCCCTAGCCAGCTTTTCTGGAAGGAAGGGCTAAAGAGAGCACATTGGCTGTTGACCTAATAGCACAGGGGGCGTTTGTCTTTCTGCTGTGTGCAGGACAAAACTGCACATCTCATTTTGACACTGCCCTTTTCTTCCATTCTGCCACAGTAATGGTGCACACTGGTGTCCATCCAATCTCTCTCTGGGTGGGAGTATTTATTCTTGGGGACATATGCTGCATTGCATCTCAGTTTGTGTTGCTCTAACAGGGAAGCATATGGGTTTTGCAGAACATATTAATGGGTGAGAGAGAGAGAGAGAGATACTTCAGGATGAGAAAAGCTGGCTGAAGGGGTGTAACTGTAAGATCTGACTCTCAGTGGAAGGTACATTGCAGGAGAGGAGAAGCAAAAACATCCTCTTGTCATCTATACTCTGCCTGTGAGTCCAAGTGTGAGTGTTAGCTCAGAAGAGGCATTCCCTCCCACATCTGAGGGGTCATTATGAAGCCTCTTAAGAGGAATCCTTAGCATTTGCAGGTTCAATGACTGATACAACCCTCCTCCAATTGGAGATCCTTATGTTGCCAAATGTGACACCATTCAAAGATAAGAAGCCATCAGCTGGCTGGGAGGATCCTTCAAATTCTTCAGAAATATTAAGGTCCCTCTCAAAATATTCTTAGTGCTAAGAGAAGGACTATTGTGTGTGAATGATGATGATGATGATGATACCAAGAATGATATACAACAATAAAAATAAAGTATATAATCCTAGATCAGATTATAGCTCAAATGTCATGGTAACATGTTTTTACTTGCTATCTAAGCCTTGATAAGATGGAAGCCAAATGTTGTATCCTGGACGAGTATTTGTGGTGGAATGTAGTCTGGATTCCCGGGGGGGGGGAGTTGCATTCCAGAGGATCAAATTTAGATAATTTGGGTCAAGATAGCTCCTTCCCATAAGTTCTCAGAGTATGTCTTTAAAGATAGAAATAGTTGCTTTAATTTGGCAAGATATCTGCCTATATTTGAGGAACAATAAAGGACACTGTTTAGAAGTAAAATGTCTGTGCCTTTCTTGGGTTTTTTTTTTTTTTGAAGCCTGACAAATATCAATCTAATAAATATAATTAAAGGGATTTCTACACCAAATTGCATGGATTAGGAAGTGGCAAAGTGTGAGACTGCAAGTCAGATTAGAGTGTTTTTGTAATTTTCCACAGTGGATTTTTGAAGGAATTTTTGAGTGGCAAGCCAACATTCATAAATCCTACTAGAAAAATATAGAAAATGAACTTTACTGCTAGAGTCTTTTAATTCCATCTTTCCGCCTAACTAGAATTTCTAGAAATTGACTGAAGGGAGGAAGGGGAAACCATTTGAATTTGATATATGAGTTTATACAAATCTCCCAGTGCTCTTCTGCCTATTCTGCCCTAATAGTTATAACTGATTTTGTTTCCAGATGACCGACACCGGGTTAAGCTCCATCCACTTCTTGGTGATCCCAATTCTGACTATATTAATGCTAATTACATTGATGTAAGTATGTCAATTCTCTCTAGCTTTTGTTATACTGTTGTAAGTATTCTCTCTAGCTTTTGTTATGCATTTTTTGTCTTAGAAACTTACTTGTTTTGTAATGTAGAATGTTGTTTGTCTTCTGTCATACCCCAAGTCTCTGTTTCAAATGCATCCTTAGAAGTTTCTTTTTTCAGAAGACTAAAAGTATATGCAGTATATAACTAAACCATTCATTTTAGTTAATGTATCATAAACATTTGATTACCTGGATGAAATCCTTTCTATTCTTTGATAGTGTTTTGCTGAACAAGTGTTAAATCCAGTCTGCTGACATCAAAGAGGGATGATATTTTAGAAGTCCTGTTTCCAAAGGTCACATTGAGCATTCACATCTCAGATTCAAAATGCAAATAGTCAAAAGGAAACAATGTTCAAAAGTACATTTTAAATATTTCTGAATGAGTATCACAGCTTGAATCTGTTTACAGTGCTCCAGATCAGTTCAATGAGACAGATCAATTCTTTCCTGTTGCTGCTGCTCCTTCTCTACTCATCAGTGTTGCTCTTTAATGCACCCCCTATACTAATGGGTCTATCTTCCTTTGCTCTTGTCTCACTAATCTGTCTGTCTCTGATTTCTTTTTCTCTCAATCCTGTGGGCTTGCTAAGATTCGGATAAACCGAGAAGTAAGTATATGTCATGTTCTTCTTTTCTTTTCCATTTCTCCTCCAATCAAGACTCCATAATTGTTCATTTTGGAATGGAGGGATTTTCCTACCCCACCCCACCCCACCACAACAGATATTATTTCAACACGGCTTTTTTTGATGGTTGATTTTATGTACTATAGTCTGAAAGGATAGGTCCTTAAGTTTGTCTTGTTCACTTGATGGTTCTCTTTTCAAAATGTCTGGCAACATTGTGCAGAAGTGGGTATCCTTTGTTGAAAGGGTAATTGCCTTAAACAAAATTGTAGAGCTAAGAGACATAGGTCTAGGCCAACCAAGCACAATGGATGAAGAAGGTGGCAAAAATAATTACCTTATAGATGAAGTAGAATGTTGGGCTTTTGAGTGGCAAACATGTCAAAACAGTCTGTAGGGCAGTTTCATCTATCATTGTAGAGTAGGAAGCAAGCAATTTAAGTAGCTTACTTTCTTGTCTTCAAAGTTATTTGCTCTGAGCTGCTCCCTTTTCATGGTCCATTTCAGGGATCTTCCTCCAGGTCCCATTGTCATACTATAGTCTATAGCTGGGAGCCAGAAAGTGCTTAAAGCATAGAGTAAGAGATCAGGACCCAAGAAACTGAAATGTTAAACAAGGTCTGGAACATGGAGAGAAAAAAAATCAAGGACACTGGATTTCTCCAGAAATATAGTCTCAGCCCACTGAACTCTAAACTAAAGCAGGTAGTGATGCAATCATATGCCATCTGGAACCCTGTTAGGCAGGAAAAAAATCTGTATTTTCCCCTATTATATTCATTCATCTCACTTAGACATTTATTTCAAAGGACGATTGGGGTAAAGTTGTGCTCAGTTTATGCACATGACTAACCCTAAATGTGGGTTAACCAAACAGAACTGATGTAGCATACTCTACTTGCCTGACCAGGTGGGATGGGGTATTATAATGGGCAAAAATGACTCTGCGGGTAATCTGGTCCCTTGCCATTAGGGCTTTAAAGATCATAACTAGCACCTTGAATTGGCCCAAGAAACAAACCAGTACCCAATGCAGCTTGCTCAAGAGAGGTGTTACATAATATAATTAAAATAGTGAGCTTATGGTCTTCCAGTTTTTACTGAAGTTTACCTTCCAGCATCCTTTCCAACTGGCCTAGAACAAGTGCACAGGGTCATCAGGACTTTTTGCATGTGCCAGGTTGAGTAAGTCCATCGGACAATTACTAACATTTAGTTCCATTCTCCTATTGGAAACAAGGAAATCTAGGTGCTAAATCTGGGACGTTTTTGTCCTGGTGGAACCCTGGTGTCACAGTGGTTAAAATGCAGCATTGCAGGCAAACTGTGCCTACAGGAGTTCAATCTTGACAGGGCTCAAGTTGACTCAGTCTTCCATCCTTCCATGGTCAGTAAAATGAGGACCTAGATTGTTGGGGGCAATATACAAATAATGCGTATATTGTAAACAACCCAGAGAGTGCTGTAAAGTGCTATAGGGTGGTATATGTCTAAACGCTATTGCAATTTGTCCTCACTGCCTACAACAGAGGATATGTGTTGTGTATATTTGCATGATATGTGTCCCTGGGCTTAAATCTAGACATTTGAAAAACTAAGCTGCTGCTCTGCCTCCTTCTTTTCCATACTTTATAATGTAAAGATAATTGACTGATTAGTTTTACTTGTTTGGATACATTTTACTCACAATATATTACCAACAGCCTTAATTCTCATGCCATATAGGCAACAGCCTTCCACAAATATTCCACCAGATATTCAAACTGAAATGTTTGTAGTTACATTCTCGCTGTAATGACTTTCACAACACTTAGACTTTCATTTGTACTTTTTAAAAGCCCAAATAATTGTGCACTTAAAGATGTTCATGATCATGAAAAGTTCTGCATTTAAAAGGTAACAATTTGAAAATTAGTACAAACATTGACTAATGAAAACATTTGTGTGCTCTTGAAGTTAGTGATTCAGAAATGCTAAACCCCAAATGGTAGGCACTCTCTGCTCCATTTTTGCTTGAAGCTTCCTTAATATTTATCTAAATGCTCTCCTGTGATATGTTTTATTCTGCTCCTGTCTCTGTCTCCTAGCAAGGTATCTCCTTTTTTCCATAGCAACTGAGAGCAAACAGTGGAGATCTGACTGTTTGTCTTGGCCAGATCTTACCAAGGATGGTAAAACATGGGAGATTGCAGGCCATATGGGAAATCTTAGGCTCTGCTATTAAGTCTAAATTCTTCCTGATATACTCTTGTTTATTTTTCCATCTTTTTCTAGCCTTTGGGCTTCTCAGTTGGGAGTTAGCTATGTGCGTGCATTAAATGGCTTAGAACAGGGATCTCAAACTTAATAACTTTAAGACTTGTGGACTTCAGCTCCCAGAATTCCTCAGCCAGCCAGTCCACAAGTCTTAAAGTTGCCAAGTTTGAAGACCCCTGGCATAGAAGAAGGGGAGTGTTCATAGTGGTTGCTCAGGGCATACAGGTAATCCTTGACTTACAACCACAATTGGGGCCAGAATTTCTATCGCTAAGTAAGGCTAAGTGAGTCACACCTGACCTTATGACCGTTGTTTAACCACAGTTAAGCAGATCACTGCAGTTCAGTTAATTGTGTGGCTTGTTAAGCAAATCCAGCTTCCCCCCATTGATTGTACTTGTTGGAATCCAGCTGGGAAGGCCGCAAAGAGCAATCACATCGCCCTGGGACACTGCAACCATCATAAATACATGCCAGTTGCCAAGTGTCCAAATTTTGATTACGTAACCCTGGAGAAATGCTGTGACAGTCATAAGTGCAAGTCACTTTTTTCAGGACCATTGTAACTCTGAACAATTGTAAAATGAATGCTTGTAAAACAAGGACTAATTGTAGTGGCTGCTCTGTGTCATGGTGCTTCATTCAGTGTCCTTGAGCTGTGATTTATTGCAGCCTTTAACCACTCATCCCAATGGTTCTTGTGTACTGGGAAGAATGTGTACATTTTCCCTAGAGATGATTTGAGGTTCAGTACTGTATGTTCAAGCCCTGTGTTCAGTGGATCCCTGCATGCATGATTGTGTTTGAAAATATTTCCATGCTTGCTAGAGCAGGGGTGTGCAACTGTGGGTTAGAGATTGCATTTAGCATTCAGATGGCAGAGCAGTAGTCCCACTTGTTAAAGTGGTGAGTTGATCCAGAATAATCATTATATGCAGTATACTGTGAGTGAGATGGGCGGAATCTAATTTGATAAAAAAATAAAACATTTGGTATTGCTTCTTTCCATATAGCTAACACAATTACACTCCTACTGTGTATTTAATCATTTCTTCCTCTGTCTCATTGTAAGTTGCTATTTAGTAGTAGAAACTGTGAGAGGGTTTCTTACAGAGGCTCTAGAAAAGGGGTGTCAAATGGAACATTATCTTCCCTGCCTGTACCCCACCTCAAAAGTGTGTAAATTTTGAAATAACTATTGCAGAAAGGAAACAAGATGTTTCAGAGTAGAAAACCTTGGGACATATAGAAATGTATAAAACCTTCCTTCCTTCCTTCCTTCCTTCCTTCCTTCCTTCCTTCCTTCCTTCCTTCCTTCCTTCCTTCCTTCCTACCTTCCTTTAATGCATATTTTTTTCTTTACAGGGTTACCAAAGATCTAATCATTTCATAGCCACACACGGTAAGACCTTCATACATACTACTTGGATATGGCTTTTTATCATGCTTTCTCCTTTTCTCCTCTTTCCCATTTTTCTGCATATATGGAAAGAAGATAGCACAAGAAGATGTGCTGTATACCAAGATGTTCAAGCTTCCTCAGTGCATTACAAAAATATCCAAAACTGCTCTGAGATTATATGTTGGGTAAAATAGCCATGCAAATAGAATGCAGTATTGCGGGCAAATTCTTCCCACAGCCAGGAGTTCAATCCTGGCTGGCTCAAGGTTGATTCAGCCTTCCATCCTTTTGTGGTCAGTAAAATATGAACCCAAATTGTTGGGAACAATATGCTGACTCTGGAAACCTCTTAGAAAGTGCTGTAAAGCACTATGGGATGGTATATAAATCTAAGTGCTATTCCTAAGTGGAATTGCTAAAATAACCATGATATTTAAATAAGTTCAGGACCTTTGTCTCTGTTGCAATCGTTTCTGGATTTTCTCTGTGTTCTAGGCCCCAAACAGGAGATGATCTATGATTTCTGGCGGATGGTATGGCAGGAACACTGTTCCAGCATAGTAATGATAACAAAGCTGGTAGAAGTGGGAAGGGTAAGAGATGATTCTTGGTTTTCTCTTCACCAGTGACTTCAGATAATGCTTACCTCCTTCACGATAGACTTAACCATAATCTGTTTTATTGTTGCATGCAGGTTAAGTGTGCCAAATATTGGCCAGATGACTCAGAGATGTATGGAGACATTAAAATTACCCAGGTGAAATCAGAGACTCTGGCAGAATATGTAGTGAGGACCTTCACCCTGGAAAGGGTAAGATCTGCAAGGATATCCCATTATCTATAAACGTGCTGTATTTTATCCTTGTTAATATTTGGACACTTATTTAATTTATCTATAGGTCTTACACTATATGGATTATTGCATATATAATTTTAGGCATGTTAGAGAATTTTAATTTCTCTATTGGTGAAAAATAAATCAGAAGCTCTCACAGTTGACTGCATTTAGCTGATTCAAATAACTTTATATTTATATAAAAATATTTACAATACCATTCTTCTTTACAGCAACATAGCTTAATGAAGACTTCTTACAGAGACAAACCAGAGACAGACATGAGACTGGAAATCCAGCTCCTAACTCAATACTCTTTTTGCACAGACTCAGTAGCACTTTCTTCACATTGGCTGACTGAGTTACCACATGACTCTTCCTGTTCATGAATACTCCAACCCTCCTCCCTTCATGACAAGAAGAGACATCAGACCTATTGACTTAACACATTTTCCATAGTGAACATTACCCAATGGTTTAGTCATCATGTCTGCCAAATTATCCTCAGAAGAATAATGATGTAAACTAATCAATTTTCCTTTTACAGCTTCCCTGACATTACAATACTTAATGTCTACATGTTTACTTCTGTTCTTCACCCTGTCACCAGTTGCCATTTTTATACAGGCAGCATTGTCTTCAAATACCTTTACAGATTCTTTTACATTAATATTTAAATCTTGCAACAACTGTACATACCATGTAACTTCAGAACACAATTCAGATAAAGCAATAACTCTGCTTCTGCTGTTGAAAGAGCAACAGTTGTTTGTTTTCTGGACTTCCATCCAATCAGAGTCCCTCCAAACAATATTATAATCCCAGAATTTGATTTCCTTGTGTTTATGTCATTTCAATAGTCACTATTGACATAACACTTTAATTTCAATTCCTCAGTAATCTGTATTTGAAGACCCAAATTTATAGTTCCCTTTAAATATCTGAGAACCCTTTTTACACCCATCCAATGTAACTTTGTAGGTGCAGCAGTAAAACGACTCAAAATGCTTACTGCGCAAGCTATGTCTAGTCTGGACCACTGTGATAGATATAACAAACTCCCTATTGCTGAGTGATATATCTCTTGATCACAGGTTTCACCTTTGTCCGCATTTAAACTATTATAAAAATCCGCACTCATGGGTGTGGGAGCAGTATTGCAATCCTTCATATTATATTTCTCCAATAACTGCTCAATTTTTCTCCTTTGACTGAGAATATAACCACCTTTTTCATTTTTCTGTATCTCTACACCAAGATAATTTTTTATTTCTCCCAAATTCTTTAATTCAAATTTCTTTCCTAATTTATCAGCAAATTCTTTGACTTGTGATGCATCCTTTGCGATGAAGCAAAGATCATCCACAAATGATAACAGTAGACAATTCCCTCCTTGTAACTGTCCAGTATATATACAATTATCAGCTTTGCAACTTTTAAATCCAAGATCCTTTAAAGCAGTATCTAAACAGATATTCCAGTTTCTGGCTGACTGCTTCAGCCCATAAATAGCCTTGTTTAATTTATATACCATGTTAGGTTTTGCAATTACATATCCTGGTGCTTGGATCATATAAATTTCTTCCTCTAACTCAGCATTGAGGAATGCAGTTGTGATATCAAAGTGCCAGATTTTATTCTTATATGCCGCTACCAACGCCAGTGCTAATCTTATACTCTCACTTTTCACAGTTGGCGCAAATACTTCATCATAGTGCACATTCTTTAATTGTGAAAAACCTTGTGCCACTAACCTGGCCTTATACTGTATATCAGTGGTAGTCAACCTGGTCCCTACCGCCCACTAGTTTTCTGTGGCAAAGTCACTGATTTAAATACTTTATGATCTCCCATGGATTTCATCTCTTTATCCATGGCCTCCTTCCATCTTTCTTGTTCAGCCAACACTTCTTTATAACTTCTTGGCTCATACCACACATTGCAAACCTTTACCTTGCTGGCAGAATACCTGTCAGGTGGAATTCCTTTGTTACATCACTCTGACCTACATGGTATTAACTGCTCCTGTGTCTCAAGTCTTTCTGGTTTCATGTCTTGTTCAGCCTCTCCTCCCTGAACATTGACATCTTCAATAATGATTTTTTCATCATTAGGTGAGTTATTGTCACTAAACAGATCACCGTCATTAAGTGAGACATACCCAGAATTTGCATTAATTCTGTCCCAATTTTGTTCTGCAAAATTAGCAGACCTTGAAATTATAATTCTTTTACTTCCATCGCTAAAGCGATATCCTTTTGACCCTGGCTCATAGCCCACAAACCTGAGCTTTCTTGCCTTTTGCTGTCCCTTTCTTCTGATTGCCTTAGGAATATGTACCCATGCAGTACTTCCAAAAATTCTCAGATGTGCCAGTGATGGCTTTCTCTATATAGAATGGCATATGGAGTATTATTAATGGAGGAACTCCACAGCCTGTTAACTATATAATTAGCAGTCAATATGGCTTCTCCCCAATATGACCTTTCCCAACCAGAATCCTCCAATAATGAATCTTTCATTGTTTGCAAAACACCATTCCTTCTTTCAGCTACACCATTCTCTGCTGCTGTGTAAGGATTTGTATGTCTGTGTCTTATCCCCAACTGCCCCAACCATTGTTGGAATTTAGTTGACATAAATTCAGTACCTTTGTCAGTTTGCAACTGACACACTTGTTGTCTGTACCTTCTCTCTACAAAACTTACCCACTGTTTGAATTGTTGTAGCACCTCTGTCTTATCTCTAAGCAAGTAGCAAAATGAATACCTGCTATAATCATCAACAATTACCAGTGCATATTTTGCTCCTCCCAAGCTGGCTTGCATAAGTCCCACCAGATCTGCATGGACCAGCTCTAGAACTCTTTTTGTTTGTCTTGTGCTACATTTACTAATTGGGAATGCCTTTGACTTTGATGCTTTGCATACCGCACAGTCCAAATATGTTTTGCATCCCTTCAAATTTAGCCCTTCTGCAAAATCTTGCATTTGCTGCAAAACTTTAAAGCTTGCATGGCCAAGTCTTCTATGCAGAAGATGAACACATGAATCATGCTCTGCAACATTCTTAAATATATGGGAACATTGAGCCTGTTGTCCCTGCAATACATATAGATTATCTTCCTTTATGCCTTCTGCACAAATATTCCCATTCCTTTTGATGAGACATTTCCCATTTAGAAAAATGACCTCAAAACCTTGTTTGTCTAAATTAGACACACTTAAGAAATTATGTTCCATCTCAGGTACACAAAGCACATTGGTAAACTTTGATTCCAAATATGGAATTTTTACATCGCCTTTTCCAATGACTTTTGCTTTCTGGCCATTTGCCAAAGCCACAGCTTCTTGTGCTACTGGAACAAACCTGTAAAACAATTCAGAGTCATTGAACTTGCCCCACTATCTATTAGCCACTTGTCTCTGTTGTTGCTATAGCAAACTTTTGAAACACCAAAATGTTCCTTTTGCAAAACTGTCCTTTTTTCTTGCACAAATGCCTTTTTCTGCAAATTGTTCCTCTGCAAACAGTTCCTTTGCAGGTGGTTGTTTGCTCCACAAATGTAGCAAATCTTTTCCCGCCGAGCAGCTCTCTGCTTGCAAAATCTCTCCTTTGTTGCAATTTGGTCCGGGTCTGATCTGCTTGTTTCTTCTCTGGAGATTTGCAGTCTGGACCCCCTCCTCAGGAATTTCTCCTCCTCATGGCTGCTTCTAAAATGGCATTTTTCCTCTTCATTAAGCAAACATGCCTTTAAAGCCTCAAAATTTAAGTCTTGTTCTTCTTTGCACTCAAATATTGCAGAAACTATGTCCCAGGTTGTATCTAAACTGTTCAACACCAATAAAACTTTCTGGGACTCAGGGAATTTAATCCCACGTTGTTCTAAGTCCAAAAATAAACTTTGCATTTTATTTAAATGCTGTTCCACAGATTCACCTGGTTGCAAACAGGCTCTGTAAAGTTTTCTTGACAATTGTACTATGTTGCAAGCAGAAACATTCACGTGCACAGCTCTCAATTTCAATTCCTTTGCAGTTTTTAAATTTGCAACATTTAGAAATTGTGCATCATCTAGATTCAAGATGAGATAAGCCATTGCTCTATCATGACTTTTCTGATCAACTGCTGCAAACACTTGTGGTGGATTTTCTACAATATACCACAGCTCTTTAGCTTTCAGCAAACATTCCATTTTTGCAGCCCACACAATGTAATTCTTCTGGCCTAAACGAGGCACACAGCTTTCCTTAAATTCCATTGCAGCCATTCTGCTTATTCTGCCTTGTTCTTATACTTTCTAAACACAGGCAATTTCTTCCAGCTTTAAATTACAATGCAGTCCTTAATAAGTTCTGGGTCCATAACCTGTTAGAGAATTTTAATTTCTCTATTGGTGAAAAATAAATCAGAGGCTCTCACAGTTGACTGCATTTAGCTGATTCAAATAACTTTATATTTATATAAAAATATTTACAATACCATTCTTCTTTACAGCAACATAGCTTAATGAAGACTTCTTACAGAGACAGACATGAGAATGGAAATCCAGCTCCTAACTCATTAATCTTTTTGCACAGACTCAGTAGCACTTTCTTCACATTGGCTGACTGAGTTACCACATGACTCTTCCTGTTTATGAATACTCCAACAAGGCAGCTCATAATAATGTACTGTACTATATCATCCATGCTCTTTCTTCAGTCAGGGTAGCTCAGGAACTTTAATATCAGGACTTTCATCTACTTTCTTCTTATTTTATTCAAAAACATCAGTTTTAAAAATGATTCAAAAGAAGCACTGAAGTATGCTTGGCAATGGGTAATTAACCCCTTTTTTTAAAGATTAGTTTGGTAGAGAATTAGGAGTTTGACTATAAGAGATATATTATTTATTTTATGATTGAATATATAATCATAAATATAACTGCAAGATGGTGCCTCTAGACCAGTGTTTCTCAATCTTAGCAATTTTAA